ATTTTTCTCAATGAAAAGTCCAGTTTTTCATGAAAAAGATAAAAAAAAAAAAAGATCTCTATTATGGTCCGTACTCGTGTTGCTGTCATGTAAAAGTTCATTTCTTTTCTTTCCTTTCTTTTCTGTGTTCAAATCTTGACTTGCGGAATTAAGAGAGCAGAGGTTTGACTCTCTCCAAAATTTGGATAAAGCTTTCTTTTACTTCTTTTTCATGCTCTTTGCAGGCAATACAGGAACGCTTATTGCCACCTTCTGTCCACATGAGCAAACGGAAAAAGACTAAAGCTTCCCAAAAGTTTGGGACAAATGGAGTTGTTCGACAAAGGGGAGAAAATGAAGCTGTCCCATCTTCAAAAACCTCCATTGGAGAAATCAAAACGTCACGTCTCCATATCGATGCATCATCAGACACCAAGCCGCAATTGAAAACTCAGTCGAGGTCATCGTCGCCTTACCCTAATGTACGTTCACTCTGCATACTACTAGTATTTTTAGGGATTATTTTTCACTCTTGGAAGTAGTTGAATGATTCAACCAAATTTTAACTTCATCAAAATTATGTGAAAATGAAATTAATATTATCTTTGTAACCCGACTAAATATTTTGTAAAACATAGTCAACTAACCCTCATTTGATAACTATTTCGTTTTTTGTTTTGTCTTTAAAAACTATGCATCATTCCTCACCAATTCTTTGGTATGTTTCACATTTAGATTTCTTAGCCACATTTCAAAAAATAAAAACAATTTGGATTAGATTTTAAAACTGTTTTTAAAAAGTAGATAACAAAACAAATAAACACATGGGTGGAAGCAATGTATCTAAGCTTAATTTTTAAAAATATAAAACAAAAGACGAAATAGTTATCAAACAAGGCCTTAAATATCAAAACTTCATTCAACAAAGCCTCTAACATCTAGCCACATTAAATGTCCAAAACCAACTAGAAAACCATCCAAATTAATCATAAAGGAAAAATATATATAATATATATAGTTAAAGTTCTTGACTTTTGGAAGATTGAAGGGTGATTTTACTTTATTAAAAGTACTTCTTCGGTTACATAGTAAAAAATATCTTAAAAATTTCTAGAAACAGTTAAAAGCATTTTTGAGATATTTTTAGAGGGCGCACCTAAGTGCTTTTCAAAAGCACTTTAATTATAGTTTATAAGTACTTTTAAAAAAAGCACTTTAATTATAGTTTATAAGTACTTTTTAGTTTTTACTATAGGGTCACTTTGATGGTTTTATGCCCTTTGAAGATGTGCTTCTGAATGAAGTACTCGGTCGAAAAGTACTCTATAAGTGATTTCTCACAAAGTACTTAAAAGTGCTTTTGACTTTTTTGTAAGACACTTTTACGTTATTATCAAATCTGTATACCTTTGAGGGAGAAGTGCTTTGAAACACAACAAGAATGCTTTCAGTCATGTAAAAACCACACCCGAACGTATAGTGATTTTCTTACCAACTGCTCCACCTCAAAAGTACTACTCTCAAAACTTTAAAGCATGATTTTGACCCGCATGATTAACTATGGAGTTATGAGTTAAAAATTTGTCCATTATGTATAATTTCTTCCCTCATGATTTGGTTCTTGTGTTTGCTTTCATTGTGGGTTTTTCTTTAGAACTGATATGTAATGTAATGGCAGTACCCAGATTTGAAGCCACCATCTTCTCCAACTCCCTCAAAACCAGAGAAATGAAAGGCAATCCTTACAAGTTTTGGGCTCACCATCTTGTTTTGCATAGAGAAGTTGACTTGTAATATTATCAACTGATTATTTTGTAAACTCCAATTTTTTTTGCTGGCAACTAGCTGTATATAATGTATGATTTAGTCTTTTGTTTCTCAAATAGTTGGTGGAAATCAAGATTTCAGAAAATGAGCATTTCAATATTATTCCTCACAATGGATGATTACATAGCATTGGAATGCTTATTTAGACAGGAAGCACATGGCTTTATGACTGAAGGAGAATATGTTAAATTACCGGTTTAGATTGCTGAACTTTCAGGTTTGTGTTTAATAGGCCTATGAAACTTTAAAAAGAATCCTATAGTTTTTTAGAATTTCAATTTTGTGTCTAACAGGCCTTTAGTTTTTTAGACTTTCAATTTTGTGTCTAACAGGCCTTTGACATATTTGAAAATTTTTAAAATTAACGTATTTATTGAACATGGAACTTAATTTTGTGTTTAATAGAATTTTAAAGCTTTGATTTTGTGTCTAATAGTTCTAGATTTTTTATTGTTGTAGAAATCATCTTTTCGGATCGTATGATCTTGAGGTGGGGTTCAATCTTGTCTCTCGAATTCTAATCATCTCTCTACCAATAAAAAACATCTTCTACATTTTACTTCTCTTTAACATCCTCTCTCAAAGAAGAGAGTGATGACATTATAGCTCAAATTTGATTCTAAACTATACAAAATACTCTTTAATTTTATGATAGGTTTCAATTATTCATTTGTTATTTCAAAAATTCTACACTCAACTTTTAAGTTTAAACTATGCTATTACAGTTTTAAAAATCTCATTTGAATCATTAATTTTTTAAAATGGTTTAAAACAACTCATTCGTATAGTTTTTCATGAAAATCTGACGTTGCAGTGAGTTACGATCTTTGTAACATTAAAAAATGACATCGTTTTGGGGTTAACATAAAAGCTATGATAATCAAATTTTTATTTTTGCGTATCCGTGATTCTTCTCATAGCGTGTGGCTTCCATTGGTGAGCTTTTCATTAGTCACAGACAAATAGACTTAACTACTTTCTACTATTGCCTGATGAGGTGAAATATGTGTTTGGGGAAGGGAATACCCTGGACACGTGGAGGACCCCTATTGGTGCTCCAAGATTGCTCATGAGTCATGCTCAGCTCGGATAGCCGAGATGGCCGCCACTAACGTCGACAAATGCTAAGTATGAGGGCCGAGGTGAACCTGGCCCAGGTCTGACCTACCGGGGAGCTCGGTAGGGGCTGATGTGAGCAACTGTCTGCGGCATGATTATCGGGCGTAACCGTCGGTCCCGAGATTACCGGGTGTAACCGACGGTCCCGAGATTACCGAATGTAACCGTCGCGAGATTAG